TGACAAGGAAATTAAGGGGCATCTGCTTATTCATGAAGTGCTCCCAGCTTTTAAGCCTGAAGAAATATCATGATGTTTTTTTTGTTATTCTAAAACACTAATGCCACTGCAGACTGGATAGTCTTTCTTTTTCCTTTAGTCATATTCTCATGCATTAAAATCTTTCAGTGTTCATATGGGCATCTGACTATTGTTTCAAGGCAAACCTGGCAAACTGCAAAACTGATCCTTCGAGTGCTGTTTACTGCCAGCTTTACATATCAATCATGGCCATGTACACCTGAAATCAGTCACGGTGAGACTATATTACTGGGAAGGCTGAACTGCTTTCTGCACATAAATTATTACTGAATTTTGTTTATACTGCATAAAAGTGTAATAATAACAGAAAATGTCAGTAGTTCATGCTGAAGCAATAAACAATATAAAAACCTTTGTGGTAGCAGGAAGCACAGAAACTGACAAACACACGCGCCAGTAGTAATAAAAGTCTGCATCAAAGAAAACAGGGGTTACCATGCTATTAAGCAATGCTCGACGCTGTGAAGTGCACCTACAGTTACATTTACATCTGTGGAAAACTGTGGTGTTGCCAGGCATTACAATGGGCCAGACAGATCTATGGCCTGATGCCCAGAACTCTGCTACTCAGAGTCCCAAGGCTCAAACTGCAACTCCCAGTCTAGCTGCTAATGTAACCTCTCCATCCCCTCTTCCCACAGTACACATGACTGAAGGTGTGTGAGGGTGAGTGAGAGGCGAAGGTACAGAAAAACTGCAACACAATCAGTCGCTGTTCTAACGTTTCATAGCCGTGGCATCTCATTAATTGACTGTTGATGTTTTGGTTATGTAACGAGCCGCACATTCCTGATCCATCTGTGACTACAGTAAGGTGCAGTCACAGATGGATACTTTCATCTGCTGGTAGCACAACGTTGCCCAACCACCATGTGTGTTTACAGTGTGAGTAATTGGATTTAAGGTTTTTGCTGTCTTAAATGTGTAATTTTCACCCTTCTCTGCTTTGACAATATGTGTAAAAACATGTCTAAAGATAATAAAGACGATCACTGATTAAATAAACTGGGACAACTAACAATGATGAGCAGTGACAATTTATGTGAAACGGTACGTTTTGACTCATGAGGTTATGCGACCTGTTTCAGGTTTTCATCTGTCAGGCTCTCTCTCTCTCCTAGAACCATGAAATGCTATGAATTTTTTCAAGAAGCTTAAAATGCTCTGTTTGTTGTGCTATGCTGAGTTGCAGCTCTCTCTGTGCTTTCATTAGAAGACTTGCTGGCCTCTCCTTTAGCCTGCACTGAATCACAACTCTGGCAGGGCACAGATAGTTGCAAATGTGAGCAGGAATACCAAATATCACATACCAGCACCCGTCATCTGCTAAGTAAGGGTTTCATTCAACTGCAAGCAACACCGGACCCAGTAATTACCAGTCTTATTCTAAAGGTATGCAATTCATTATGATTTACTTCGTATTTGGCTTTTAAGCCCAGGTGTGATTCTACTTTTGCTCAGACTGAATCACTCTCTGAATCCCAAAGTCTGTCACTGGGGTGCAAAAGCAGAGCTAATCAAATCCTGGTGCCCACCCAATTGAGATGGATCACAGTAAGGGGAGAACAGAATAATTCATGGACCCCCCAAGCTCAAGTGACTGGCCAAGGTGAAAATCAGTAGACTTTTATTGCAACCATGATTATTTATTAATGCCGCCTTGGCCTTCATCAATTCAATAATTAAGACTATGCAGCACTATAGTTAGTTTTACATTTTACACTTCAAAATTTATAAAACTTCTGCGAACACTGTTATGCCTTCCAGACTTAATGTGTCATTGTGTTAGACACTATTTTTCAAAGTGAGAATGCGCTTATTTGGGAAAGAAAATATATTTAGTCTATAACTGTTGTAGTCAAGAGGTGAGAAAGATCTATAGCTGGAGCTCAAATGTAAAAGCTTACATAAAGAAAAGAATCCCTGTGCATTTCTTCCAACCACTATTTTATAACTGTCTTATAACTCTGGGTTCTCTGTGTTCCTGTCAGAGTCTAAAGACATGCAAGTTAGGTTAGCTGTTGATTCTAAACTGACTGTAGGTGTGAATGTGAGCGTGAATGGTTGCCTGTCTCTCTGTGTTAGGTCTGTGATACAGCAGTGACCTATGCAGGGTGTACGCTTCCTCTCGCCCTATGACAGCAGAGACTGGCTCAAGGCCCCTCGTGACCCTAAATTGGATAAGTGGTAAAAAAAAAAAAAAGGATGGATGGAGGGTGAAGCATCCATATAACCACCAGTAATGACTTTAGGTAAGTTTGATGGCATTCTCTAATAAACCACACCTAAGAAGGAGCTTATAGCGTGCAGTTGATGGGCCCTTTCATAGACTAATTATTTGATTCAGTCAGTAATAAAAAAACAACAAAATAAAAATAAAACGTTGGATTTCCAGGCTGTGCAGAATCTTCCACTAGTCTGCTGCTTTTTTTGTTCAGCTTGCTCTTCAAAATATTATGAAGAACTCTCAAATGCTTCTTGAACAGGGCTGCATGACATCTGAACTAAAATCCATTTATAGATTTTCTAACTTCAATGGTTACGACTGCTTTCTTGGTTTTAGTGTCCTTAACAGCCTACTCGTTTATTGAGATGCTTAGGCCAAGGACGAATGAAAGTCAAAAGCTTCATTGTTCTTAAATTATTAAAATTGTAAAAAAACAAAAAAAACAAAACACATTTACTTGATGATCTATTTTGGTCAATAAAAGATTTACTAAGTGCAAAAATCCTGACAGGTGCTTTGATTGTTTCTACTCAGATCCTCTCATGCAAAGAGTTTGTATAGGTGTACGAATGCTGCTAATCATTATTTTGAAAGAAAAAAAAAGGTTAAGTTATATATGAGGAGATTCTCCATCAATTATTCAGTTGTTTGGTAAAATATTAGAAGGTTGTGATCAATGCTGGTTGTATTTTTACAGACCCTCAGGCAATGTCTTCCCATTACTCACTTCCCAAAACTAATAGAGCAACACTTGAAAACTCGCAATGATATAAAAAATAATAAAGCAGATTAAAGTCTTCAGATGTGAAAAGGTTTACTTAAAGCCCAAATTCATTGTCTACCTTTGACAACAGCTGTTTGACACTTCATGTGAAGATGACACTTTGTAAAAGGTGAAATGCTGACTGTTGTTTCATCATATAAAGTTAAAAAATTATAAATACAGTTAAAGAACAAGAAATAAGAAAGGTTTCACTGTAATTTACGGCTTTAATAATGGCCCACAGCTTCCCTTCTGTCACTTGTCTTCAGTTATGTTATTAAATTATTAAGCTAAAGGGTTCTTAGACTAATCTATCAAGCCTGCATTTGTGAATATTAACAAGTAGTTCACAAATGGATTTTAGGGCTAATGACTGAAAAGCCCATTAAATGAATAGAAACAATCAGCCACCCAGTACACTGCTGTGAATGTTAGTAGGTCATTTAGTAGTCAAAATAAACTATCAATTATTAATAAATTCTTGACTAACCCTCCTCATAGGCTCGCACTTATTATTAGCCTTTCTGTGCCTTTCAGTATAGACTAAAAAATTCAGACCAGCTGACCATTTCAAGTTTTGAAACAGGATTTTCCTCATTGATTCTTTATTGAATATTAAGCTTAACGTACACGTGGATATTTACTCGTGCAAAGCGGGCAATTCGTGTTTTTAAGCTCACGACCCCTGAAAAGGATTCTCTGACAGGCACAACAAACCGAACCAAAATGAAAGTCCAGTTTGTGACTGAAGCAGCTCGATCGGCTCTGTTCTTTCACTTATGAGAGAGAGAGAACGGTGCAGCTGATTAGACTGATGAATCAATAACTGCAGGGTAATGACAAAACTTATAAAGAAAAGCGATTCCAACAAGCAAAATGATCCTTCCCAGGGGAGGGTCCGAGGTAATCGCTGAACATAAAAGTCCAGAACATGGCGTGTGTGCACAAGATTGCGTGCTTGTGCGTGTGGTGGGATGGCAGCATAAAAAAAATGGAGACTGTGATTAAGAACTTCCTCAAGTGCTCAAAAAGACAAACGAACGGCGCCAAGGAGCGACGGCAGTGGAGCTTAATATGCGCTAGTCGGCGCCTTAAGAATGAAATTTAATGCCTGCGTGTTGCATGTGAATTCAGGCAACAGTGCACTCAGAGGAAGACGGAGAGACTTAAACCTGGAAGGGAGCCCACCCTGCACGGGTTTGCTTAACGTGGTGTATCCACGAGCAACAATCATGTCCACAGAGAGTCTGAAATGGCGATAACGCACACAAATATGCTTCCACAGCTGCAAGCATCGCGCATATCTTTGTTGTATGGTGTGTATGCGTGTGTATGCGTGTGTGTGTGTGTGTGTGTGTGTGTGTGTGTGTGTGTGTGTGTGTGTGTGTGTGTGTGTGTGTGAGGATGAGATGCGTCACTGCCTTACAGTAAATAATCTCACCCTAGCAGACGCCAGCAGCAGGGAGAGCCAGCGGGGCTTCCAGTGAGGAAAGTGTGATGCAAATACACGAGAGCGCAGTTACAGTTTTACGCCTAAATCTTTGCAACAGGAGACTGACAGCAGGGATGGAGACAGACCTTTTTAAATCACCTGCTCATGCATCATCCAGGTGCATTTGAGAAACGGCACAACTCTTGACATAAGTTGTCAGCTGCTTAAATCGAGCGCACAAGGACTCTTTTCAACCTGAAATCCTCCTCCTCTTTTCTCTGCTCAAATTAAGTGTCCACCTCGGGGGTTTGACTTATTGATCCGTTTTTCTTTAAATGCAGCTGATTTCAGTTCAATTGATCAAGCAACGGTTTCACTCACTCACTCAGTCCCTCCCCCACCACTTCTTTCCCCCTGTCGCTTTTTGCGTTGCCAATAGTGTCAGTGCTTGACAACGTTTTGTTGAAGCGCTTAAAAAAAGATAGAGGAGAGATAATTTCAGTCGTGCGCGGTGGGAGGGAAGATTTGTGCAGTCAAACAGAAGAATCAGTAGACGAAGAGGAGGGGAAAAAAGTAGGAAATCTCTGCAACCTCTGGAGTCTCATTCAGCACCGCTCGCTCCTGGACAGCGTCTGAGCGGCGGAGTTGATCGAGAAACAGGGGATTTGTTCAAACATCCAATCTGGGAGTAACACTGAATTTAAACGGGGCGCTTAATTTTCTTCACGACTTACAACCCACATTGGTATGTTCACTTCCCACACCTGTCATGCTCTTCTTTTGAATTGAATCTGTGCGGCAAGCAGCGTTTCAACAGCGAGGGAGTCCAGAACTGACTGGAGCTGGTGCCGCCAAACAAAGACGCTGGAAGAAAAAAGAAACCTGGACGGCATCGCAGCTCGCAGAAGTTCTTCTCCTCCACTTTGGGCTCACTTGTATCAGGAAGATTTAAAGGTAACCAGTATTCTTTTCTTTTACACTCTTATACTGGCGTCAGCGAGCTTTAGGAGTGGTATGACAGCCAAGCATCCCAGAGTTACGCAGCTGTGTTGTGGTTTCTGCCTGTGAGAGTATGCTGCACAAACAGTCTAACCTATTAAGCTACTTAATTGGCATCTTGGTGTGCTTTGGAAGCAGTAGTCCATTATATTAAGAACATACACCAACAATTAAGGCAGTCGTATCTTGTTTCATTGCCTTTTGACTAAACCCAATATCAAATAGTGACTTTACAAATCTCCTGGTGTGTATGCGTGCATTGCAAGATTTAGTCCTGTTTTGGGGAGGCCGTGGTCTTTGTCCGGTCACATACTCAACAGATGAATCACATTTGCTGAAAGGCTTTTGGAGGAAGAACGAAGCTGGTGGTAATCGTGGAGCTGATTGGAGGGGGGGGCTTGGCAGTACAATGAAGCCCTTCATCAGCTGTATCTATAGGAGCTCCCGCTGCAAACCCCTCTCTCTTTTCCGCTCCACTTGGCTAGATCCTTGCAGAAGCAAATCGGGGAAGTCTATAGGAGTAATCAGTGAACACACACGGTAATCCTAAAGTAATGTATTCATTTAAGATAGATATGAAGATGCTGCTAATGACGAATATGCCAGCTTTTACATGGTTGTCTGGAAGAATAGGTGCCAATCCATCTTTGCATTTAATTATTTTCAAGTGAGACTTGACGCTCTGGCGGGTGATGGTGACGCCTCTCTGATAGGCTAATGCACCTCTGTTGGAGAATGCATTGATTAGAGCTCACGTTTCTGCTACTCGCAGGTTATACATGATGGTTGTTTCATTATGTCAAAACAAAGTATACATTGACTTCTTAAAGATTTTCTTAAATTGAAGTGATAAGAAGTGCAATTTCCCTCTAGATTTATAAAGAAATAAGAAGAAAATCTGCTTAAACACTGTTCTGGTATGAAGGGTATTATTTTATCCTTTTTTTTGTTCCACACAGAGGTTTTAATGGATATGCTCTGTTTCCACTTTCTTTTTAATTTTTATGACAGTCTGGCTTTTGCAGGTTTGTTAGGTTCCACTCTAAATCTCTCCAGAGCCTAACCTCCTCATCTACTTCAAATGCCTCACTGGATTTCAATTAGTGAGAATGATTTAATTTGAGCTGATACTCTTCAAAACTCACACAAAATGTGAAAGGCATGTGGTAGCAAATGACAACAATAAAAATGACTTGGTATTTGCACACGGTGGGTCTTTAAAGAGCAATTAGATGCTCCTTAAGCACTTCTTGAATCGGCTGGAAACATGCAGACATGTTCCACCGAGCCAATAAAATTGAAACTGAAGCATTTAATGTATTTTTTATATTTTTTTAAAGGCATATGGGTCTTTTGAAATCCCCAAACAACCACTTTTAAATACCCATCAGAACCATTAACAGCAACAACTCTTTCCCTTTTTTTAAATTTAATTTTAGATTTATTATAGTATAAACAAAAACAGAAATGGTGAATTTTTGGGAAAGATCAAGTCTTACCGACAAACGCACCAGAGTATTTGCCCAACAGGAGTTTTTAATGTGCTAATCTTAAATCCCAACAAGTCCCACTAAGATCCACAAGTGGGGACAAAGATTTTTGACCTCCCCTTTTTGTTTTCATGTGTTTGTGGCCTTAATCAGAACATAAAGTATTAAAGAGTCATTCTGGCTTTCTGAATGTTTGACCGGTATTATCGACTGTGTTGCAGTTACCATTTGGCTTTGCTATTTTTAAAGACAATAATATCAAATTGTCTTTATCATAACAAAGATAATAGGATTTAAATAAAGTGCACTTCTTCAAACACGTCTCATAATTTTCCCAAAGACCTGAGCCCAGAATGTGTAAAGATGACATTTACTGACCCTGAACTGAACCCTGTGAAGCTGTGCAGCACCCCTAATAAGACCTACTGATTAAAGGTTTACATTAGTTCAGAATTCACTGTTCAAGTTAGGGGTTACCAATCAGATGTGAAATTTTAATGCAATCGAAGACGTGCCGTGCCAGAAGCCAACCCCAGCGAAAGAACAATTCCTTCACACATTTGGCAGTTTAAAAAAGCTTGCTTTCCAAAGAAAAAAAATCTAAAAACATCTATATTTTTTACACTTCACTTTCAGAGTATACATGTTTAATGGTGCGAGACAACATCCAGTATTTCCACTCATTAACACACAGAAACCCCTCTAATTTAGATCGAAATCCCAGAGAAACTCTACTAAAAAGCTCACTGCTTATATAAAACCTGTTAGTTTTAAACTTTACATCCAAATGGGCTTTCTTGTACTTTAAGCGTTCCAGACCTGATAATGTTGCCTTTATACCCAGAAAATCATCCAGGACATGTTTACTGTCATTTCTCTCATCTTATGTAATTAATTTTTCATGCTGCTAGGAGTTAGCATGACATTAGAGGAACGGGGCAGAGAAAATCATTTTCCTCACTGGCTTCTCTTCCTTTTTAACACTGTGCTGAAAGCAAGAGCATACGTCAGCGCTGAAATTCACATCCAGCAGTGCATAGAGACCGACAGACAAGATGAGGCAGGCAGACAACGCTTCTCTCTGCCTGTTGGAAGACTTTTAGATATCCATTTCACTGTTGTTCCTTATCACTGCTTCTTGATCACGGAGTGTCTACATTCTGGATCACCTCCTCTGCTTTTCCTCCTGGCTGTCCATCTGTTCATCGGGGGGCCGTCTGTGTGGCCTCGCTGTGCTGACCACAGTCTGATGATCTCTAAAACAACAGCAGAGCCATTCCTCACACATTCCTATTTTCTAAACTGCTGCTTCTTCTTCTTCTCTACGATCCTTTAACAAGCTTTCTGGTTTTCGTCTCATTTCTTCCACGTGTGTCTTGTCTGGTAAAAAATAGTTTTGTCGCAAGCTTTGCGTACTTTTCTTGATGATATTTTATAGTCCGGGTGCTCTTGTGTAAAACCACCATGCTATAAGTAAACTGTCTTATCAAAGAATGTGTGCGTAAGAGCTATAACCCGCCTACAGTTGGAACATCTTCATTAGAAGCCTGTTGACACTAATCAGAGATGACAGCCACTGACACTCTGGTTAATTTACAAGATTTACAACACAAACAATAAAGGAAATAATCTTTCCATTCCAGCAAGCGTGTTGTTCATAATGGAGACGTATTTGACAAGGCGTCGAATTAATCTTTGTTCTTATCAAATGTTGTGATGCCACTTGCTGGCCTCAGCAAAACTGGCATCAAACTGCAGTTTAAACTGATGCTTAAATTTGTTCCCCTTGACAGGAGGAACTCATTCAAATAAGTCAAGAGCATAATGGATCCATATCACAACACACTTGTTACGACTCAGACAACAGGGTTTCGATTTAGCCTTCAGAGTCATAAGATGAAGAATTGCTCATGATCCAACTTAAACGTAGAGTCATCAAGGCCTTTAAAAAGAAAAAAAAACTCAGTTAAGTTGATTAAAGTTGCAAGAAAACATTCACAAACTCTTTGGACTGATCATCAATTCAGCACTAATTATTCTGAAAATGTGTTGTGATCCTTATGTCACCATTATTGCTGAACAAAGCGTAAAAACACACAAACAGCGGTACCTTTCATGTCTTTGTGGAACACTGTGAATAACAATTAATAGTATAATACATGTGTTTTAATAACACTCTTTTAATAAATTGATAAGTAATTCTCAACAATGATGGCTGGTTTTGTTTTTTATTTGAAAAATAACTGCTCACTTTGAATTTAATGAATGTTGGAACGGAGGTGTGTTTCCTCTGCGTGGTATCACCTTCTTTTCCAAGACTCTGTGGAGACCAATTATTGTAGTTCTGAAACCAAAAATGTTTTTTTTTTTGCTTAAAGTGGGATTTTAACTTCTCGAAACTTTTGGACTCCTCTCTCATATTTTTCTTTCTCCCTCCCTTGTATTCCTTTTTAGCCTATATTTTACGCAACTTCTATGAAACTAGGGCTGCAAATGGTTTCGTCACACTCATGTTTTCCAAGTAGGACATGGTGCTCTTCCTTGGGCATCGGTTATGATGTATAATTGACAGATTTGTTGATTAGTGTTGGATTAAAGTGTAATTTCACGGGGGAAGATTTGGCTGAGTTTTTCACAGCATATTCCAAACACCTAAATCCAAATCACAGAAATAAAGGACAGACAAAGATTAGGACACGCTCTAAACTGAAAGTAAAAAGAAGCTACTTTTGGCTGCTCACTTATTCAAGAGGGGTCATTACAGCAGGTAGCTGTGCATGTTTGATTTGGCAGAGTGTTCTGCAGGATGCCCTTCCTGAGGTGTCTCCTCCTGGGATCGAACTGGGCATCTTTCACTTGTTAGGCAAACTGTAAGTGATAGCGTTAAATTAACCAAGCATCTAGAACATCTCATATTTAGCTGTTATGACTACAGATTTAGGTGGATGCTATAATTAATCAGGTTGTTGACACCGAAAAATAAATATGTCTATTTCCTCATTTTAGCCACACACACACAATCTACAGTTAGCGCTTATAACATGCAACTGTTCCGATGTGTCGTCAGGACATCATTTGTCCTGTCCTTACAATTCACTGTTTAGGAAATGGCCCTTCACTGTAAAGAAATAAATCTGGTTAAGTAACTGACACCAACTCACATGCACATGGAAATCATTCTGACAAAGATTTGCAGTCTCGCGTTTACATGCACTGACACACATAATTGGGACAGTGTGATGCGCACAAACGATGTGCAGATCCTGCATTTGTTTAACCTTAAAGGCTATCTTGTCTCGTCTTCATCATTTTATTTGTGTAGCTGCTGTTATTATTCATCCATACATTTTCTTAGCTGTTCCAGTCAGAGTCGTGGAAGGGCGGGAGTCAGTCCCATGACTTGCTGATATGGTGCACGAAGCAGGGTACAGTGTAGAAATGTAACATGCCTCACACAGGCAGGATTTCACACATACATAATGAACCACTCCTTGGCAAATATAAGTAGCTCTACTTTGTGACAAATAAACAATGAAGCACTAATCACCTACCTCTTCTGAGTGTATCCTATCTCGTGGTTAGACACCTGCTCCCCCATGTTGGAGAGAGTTATGTTCATGGTGATAATAATTATGTTCAGCAGCCCCAGTAAACTCGATGCAGCAGATGAGCTGCTTCTTCACTAGGTGCAGGTTCCGGCTAAAATGGTATTCCAGCTCACATCAGATCTTTAAAGCAGCAGACCTACTGTCACCAAGTGCCATCCAAGATGGTTTATTTGGAATTCTTCTGACCGAGGGGTGAGAGACTCTTTGGAGTGCCACAACGGTCGAGCTTGTTGGAGGGTAAATATGAGAAAGAAAGCGTCAGCTTCATAGTGAGAGTGAGAGGATTGTCCACTAGTAAACCAATCACAAAAAAAAAGTTTTATATTCATACTTAAGGGGGCATTAATATAACTGGGTGGTACCCCCAGTTAAAATCTTGTTTGGCTATGTAAGCCTAGCTATAAAGGTTTTGTGACTTATAAGACCCTGTCAGTAAGAAAACATGGATGTTTGCATTGATATTTACAAAAGTCTCTTCTGTAATCTGTCCAACTACACAGGAGCTTATTGCTGTAGTTTGAATACCAAAACGTTGTCAGCTGGGTTTTTGGGGGTCGTGGAATGAGCACCAGTCATAAAAGTAGTAAAAGCTACTCGTTTTAAAAGGAAAACATATTTATGTGTTTGTACCCTTAATGTGTGAGCGGAGCGGAAGATAAACAGGTATACTCGAGCTTGCAGGCAGTGACCAATTTGCATATTTATAGATCTGTGCATACTAAAAGAGGGAAAGGCGTGGCATTACATCTAAGCCATTTGAAAGCATCAAGGGATAATTTTGATTGAAATAAAAAAAACCCTTCTAAATATGTATTTCTGATGAACAGAGATGAGTTTTCAGGGACTTAATCAGTACCAGGAGAGGAGATTTAGGACCTTAGCCATCTGGGTAATAAAACGCTTGTTTTTAGCTTTGGTAAGATTACATAAAAACCTATGTCAAATGTCAGTGCAAAAAGGAAAACAAACATAATCTAGGGTGCTTAAGTTCAGCGTTTTGTTGTCCTGTCTATCCGACTTCCTCCTCTGCAGCCTTTGTGGCTTTAGAGAAATAACCCAGTATTATCGTCCTTGCCTTAGACACGAGCAACAGGAAACTCTGTCACTAGAATCTAAACAAATGTTATTTTGCTGAGTGAGTGCTACTGTTGTTTTTCTTGGAAGGACAGTGTCAGTAATCAGCTTGTTGTTTGGTGTGAGTAACATTGACAAACCATGTTTTTATTCATGCTCTCCCAGCAGTCAGCATGAATTAAACAAACTTTTTAATCGGTTACCTGTTCGGCTGCGTGCGGTGAAGCTGCGCTGTTTTTCAATTTTCAATTTTAATTTCAATCACAGAGTCCATGGGAATTATTTCATCTTTTCTTTTAGCAGCCTTAGTCAGCACTTAACCTGTTGTTTGGTATGATGTCTTCAGGTCATTTGAATCTTCTTGACTTTATTTGCTTAGAGCAGAAATATCAGCTTTAATGGTATTTTGGTTAGGAGATTTTGTAACACTGGACATGCCGCTTCCTTTTCCACAGTCCCTATTTAATTGTATTAGTTCTAACATGCAAGCATAATAGAGGTAAGAGGCTAGTTCACAATCTGTAAAACTTTGACATGGGGGCCAGAGGTTGTGATGCTGCTTCGAGGGCACTTATAACAAGGCTTTTTTCCTTATATGGTTTCATAATCTTTGTTGCATTCAAGACATTAACCCTCTGCTGTGCCCTGTTCTTATGCTCTTAAAAAGGCACACAAGGCTTGTGTTTAATAAGGAGGGCTGCTTCTGCATTTTTCATTGATATTCACAATGCGTGAGTTGAGGAATTTTCCCGCTTTCTTTGTTAGTCTGTCGAAGCCTGCCCACTACTCATGAATATGTATGAGCATATTTTAGACTAAAGACTTTTAGTCTACAAACTCCCCCATGAGCCTTAAAAACTAAATTCTTTTGCACAGTCAAACTGATCTTAAACCAAACAATAAAATTAATAAAATCCAAACATAAATGTATTCAGTATAAATGTTCTAGATACAATAAGTCTACAGCAGATGATTGAAGAAATGAGTGGGAAAAATGATCCCCACTCTTTCCATAATACATGACTTCAGGGCCAGTTCCTTTTAGCTGCAACAGACCACTACAGATTAGTCCTTGTTCTGCACACCAGCGCCAGCTAGAAATCTCTTGCCAGCAGCAGTGGGAAGGCTCAGATGAGTTCCTAAATCCTGCAGTCAACAGCCACCCATCTCTATGTGAACTATTCCTGGCCTTGATTACAATTTGTGTGCCACAGTGACTGGCTCCAAAGAAAGAACCACAAGGAGATATTCAATTATGTGCGTAGCGGGGTGGGATGGATGAGCCTTTTGCAGCGATTGAGAAAATTCTAAATTCATTTAATGTCAAAAAAGATTTTTAAAAATAGTTCTGATTTTGGCCAGTTTTCATGACGTGACAAGTTGTTAAGTCATAGCGAATCTTGCAAAAAGATTGCAAACCAAGCACTAATTCCTTTTGCTCCTGTTCTGTTCTACAGGGAATGCTTATAGATCCACCATTCAGATCAAATTTTCTAATTAGCCTGAAAATGCCTCATAGGAAGGCAGACGTAAAAAGCGCTCATCCTATACCCTACGCTCCTTCAAAGACCAACATAGGTATAATGATAGCAGACAGTGGAAATGATTTATTTGCAATCTCCCGCTCTGCTTGTTTTGCCTAAGTCAAATCTCCACAATCTAATATAAACGAAGCAAGACAGGAAGCTTAGGATAAGTATGAGGCAGCACAGTAGTATTGCTTCTGAGCAAAATGCATTAACATATTGACTTTGCAGAAGTGCATGCAAGCTACCTCAGCTCACAGTTGATTGGCTGGTGCAAATGAGCTCAAGTAAAACATGCAAGCAATCAAAAAAACAAACATGTTGGATGATGTTTTATTCAACGTCTCCCGCACTCTTTGTCAACAGTTCAGCGCAGCAATCATATTGCACTCTCCAACAACATCCACAGAGCTGTGTTTAACAACATTAAACTGTAAAGGGAGGCTGCCATTAGAGGCTTTAGTTGTTTCACTTGTTGTGTTTTGCTTCATAATGGGTCTGTCGGGCTACTATGTGCGCTGCAGGTCAAGTTAATGGTGTTTTGATCTTTTAGAAGCCATTAGTCAGAGAATCCTTGTCATTGCCCCTGCCCTTCCTGAATATGACACTTCAGTTCACTGGTAATGAGATGTCTGTATCTACACCAAGTCCTGATTACTAAAGCAGAAGCAACACAAGGGATACAATGTCAACTAGTCCCAGCTTTCATGTATAATATCTATGTGTTGGGTAAATTAATTTTTAAAACACACACAAAGAACTGGACCTCCTGATTTTATCTCCTGAAAATAAGAAAAAGAAGAAAGGAATAAGTAAGTAATTTCATTCATGTCTTCTACAGACGATGGTTGGAGATTCAGGCCAGGAGTGTATTCCCTTGCGGACAGTTTCAACATCAGGTAGGCCCAGTTGTTCCTTTTGCTCTACTTCCTAGTCCATTTGGAGGAAGCATGTGCAGCTGGTGCCTTTGTTAACTAGCTGCCTGTGCGGTCATAGCAATGGTGTGCTTGAGTGTGCTCCATTCAGTGACTCCATCATGCTACTGGGAGACTTCAATGCTCATGTGATCAATGGCATTGAACCTGACTGGTGTATTGTTATTGGACTTCTCTACAAACCACAGTTCGTCCAAACACTGTGTTCAAACATAAGCATCTCCATAAGTGCACGTGGGACCAAGACACCCAATATTGCGGGTCAATGATTGATTTTCCAATCGTTCTGGACAACTGAGTAAGAGAGAGAGAAGCTGAGTTGTTAACTGATCACCACCTGGTGGTGAGTTGGATCAGGTGATGGGGAAGGATGCTGGAAAGACCTGGCACACCCAAACCTATAATGAAGGTGTGCTGGGAACGTCTGGCAGAGGTTCTGGTCTGTTTGTCCTTTAAGTATCTTGGGTCTTGTTCATGAGTTAGGGGAGCAAGAGATTAACAGACGGATTGAGGTTGCGGTTGCAGTGATGCAGACACTGTACTGGTCAGTTGTGGTGAAGAGTGAGCTAAACACAAAAGCAAACTGTCGATTTAGCAGTCAATCTACGTCCCTACCCTTACCTATGGTCACGAGCTCTGGGTAGTGATTGCAGATAACGGCTTGGAGATACAAGCGGCAGAAATGATCTTTCTCCAAAGGGTGGCTGGCCTCTCCCTTAGAGATATGGTGAGGAGTTCAGTGATTCAAGAGGGCCTTGGAGTAGAGCTGCTCTCTATGTCGAAAGCAGCCACTTTACTTGGTTCGAGCATTTAATTAAGATGCCTAATTGCCTAACATCCCATGTAAATATAACGGAAATATGACATATTTACTTACACTGTAATAACAGTGCTTAAATGTTTTAAAAAGATGCCCACCTACTGTTTATTTTAGGAAACTCCTTGCTTACTATAAGAAGGTCTACAGATTTGTACACAGGTGTGTGTTGCATTTTCAGTGGGCAGTTTCACGATTCAAGATACCTGAAATTCATCTGACTTACACACCGTGTCCTGTCTTTGTTTACAGCACAACTTTAATGGGGGCACTGTAGACTCTCCTCAGTCAATACAAACACTATTCCAGACCCCAGCTGCTTCACAACTCAGCAGCATGAAGCCGAACAATGCACGTACACAGCTGTGTGTCTGTTACCTCTTAAGACATTGCACTGATGTATGATGGAGACTTAGTCTAACTTTAGCCCTAACTACTGATAACTTAACGTAACCTTAGCCTAATATTACCCCAGTGGGCATGGCTTCACATTAAAGTTTAATTATCTACACTACTTGCTTTCTTGTTCCTATTATCTGACTGTGCAAACAGATTTAGGTCCCCATAATATGAGCAATACTCGAAACACACGCACACATTCAGTGGTACTGTTAGAATGCCTTAGGCTTTTCTTTTCTGGATGTCTTACCCATGTAGAGAAATATCGGTGCGTGGCATGCAGTGCATTTGATATATTTGGGTGTTCTGCTAGATTAAGTACTACTGGTTCCACCAACATACTCGATTGTAAGAATAAAAATATACATCGTCTTTCTGAAAAAACAAACAAGCATAAAAAGGCACATAAAAGGCAAATTCTGTACAAGTTGCTCTAGTTTTGTTCTGGAGGACATACGGTACTGTGCAAAAGTCTTGAGTCACCTTTTTTTCTTTATAATTCTTCTTTTTTATTCCTTTATAATTTGCATCTAAAGACACAGACTTGTAATTTTTAAAGCAGTCTTGAGCATTAGTTTTGAAGGTCTTTCAAAGTATTTCTTTCAGCATTGGCTGCTTTGTCCATAATTTTCAGTCCAGTCTTTGTACCTGACCATTTTCAGAAGACTGTTTCTTTTTATCTGTTGAACCACTGATGCTGATCTTTCATTAAAGCATAAAAATTTCACCCATCTCAGGGATGTTATCAGTGTTGTGTCTACACATAACAGACAACTTGGCAAAGTACCCATTTAAACAGTATCTTTAGACACTTTATTCTTAGTAGCCTTTGGGAAAAACATATAATTTGCTCTCATTTCGTTCATTGGATCTATGAAAAATGCCAAACATAACACAGTTTGACAGGCATAAAATAGGATTTTTGCACCAACAAGATGATTCCTAAAGAGCTGTTAGCCAAAACCTTGGCATATCTTGGAATGGCATGCCATTAAAATTTTTAGAGAAACCAAAGAAGTAGGTGACAAAAGCAAAAGTGTCAGGCCTAACAAAGTAAAGACCTCACACAGGACTTGGGAGATGCATCTGGCCCTTCAGTTGATCCAGCTATTGTTCGCCGAAGCCTCATCGGAAATGGTTTGAGTGGACGGGTGGCTGAGGTATGCCAAATTACACAACAACAAAGTGGCTACAGGTCTTATTGAATTTTAAGTGTTTGGTTCAAAATAATGTCAATATGTATGAAGGAGTATGAGTATCTACAGTTGTCTGCATAACATGCTGCCAGTAGAGTAAAAGCTCGCTTAGATAGAATTTATATAGAACCTTTTCTTCACAAAGCATCAAGAACTATTTCGAAAAGAAATTACTTATTAAAGAAATTGAAACAAGAAATTGTTTTTGCAGTTTCATGGCTTTTTGGTAACCAAAAAAAAAACAAACAAAAAAAACAAAAAAAACCCCCAAACACACATGAAACCAGTCTTCTCTTTGAATTAAAATGTTCAGTTTCTAAAACCCATGTATAAGAAGGTAGGGGAGTCATTATAACATATTTTATATAATCTGAACCAATAATGCACTAAGGTCAGCTCTCATAATTGTCAGTTAGGCTTTTACTTGCATATCAATAGTAACCAAGTTCCTGCACAGTACAGAAGAGAAATGCTTTTAGCCAAAGTGACATGACTTCTGTTCCTATATGAATCCGTTTTGTGCTGTTTTCACTTGCAGATCTTCAGCTGCCTTTTCCTTGGTGTCTCCACTTGAGTCCACAGTCAGTTCCTCATGCCTGAACTGAATTAGATATTTAAATGAATGGCTGTACTGGTATTTTGTATATCTCTGCATACTAAGAACAATAGTAGACAACAATGGATTATATTAGAATTTTGAACACTAGGAACAAGTCTGGCTATTTTTCCCCCCAAATTTAAATAATATGCAAAATAGTGCTGACTCTAAGGAACTCTAATTGTGTGAACCAAAGGCCATCTTCCAGGTGTACTGTGTAGGCACTCTTAACTTCCAGTCTTCCATCAAAGCGTCGCACTAAACCCACCTGTGCAGACTTGATTCAGACCTTTCTAATGAAATGCTCCATCTCTGTCATCAGACTGCTCCTTTCACAATCTATTACACCTTATACATTCATTGCTCTGGTATACATTATATGCCACTGATTTCTGCTATCCTGCTGCATTGTTTTAATTATGAGGAGGAAGGGGGTTACTGCTGAAACTTCACCAGAAAGTCATTTCATTATTTTCCATTTTATGGATTTTTTTCCCCATGGAGTTCAGCATGTTTTCCTGGGTAATTTCACCACCTTGTTTGGTGGCCTTCTCTCTGTAGCAGCAATGATAACTAAAGATCAGTGGCTAATGTTTAATGCATATATATTGGTGAGTTTAGTTTTCTTTGATGTTAATGTGTTTGTGGGGTTTAGCATCCACCAGTCCAACGCACAACACATTTCCTCTAAAGCTGCACCCTTCATAAATGACCACAGGGTTGAATTCTGGAATAATCTCCACCGACAGATTGGTGGTGCTGCATGTAATGGAATAGCTTAGATGTTTATTGGAATTTTGACCAGTGTATTTGCCTACAAGGTACAAAATAAATTGCAACTTTAGAGCTACTTGGGCCATCCAATGTGACAACATGAAGAACCAAAAATATTAGCTTGCAAACCTCAACATACAAGTTAATGAGTAATACATTTTAGTAACCGTAAATCTCCTTATTAGTACCAACTTTTCTCCAAAGCATATACAAAACTACATGTATGTATAACTTTTGGGTTACTTGAGTATCTCTTTTTAATTCCAATCCATGCTGGTAGTCTGCACTTAACACCTCTATAGATTTCTTTTCAGATCAAAACGTTTTATATGAAAAAACACAAATACGACAACTGGGCATATATCTATAAATTTTGGATTCTGGTCTTACTGGCTTGTAACACCTTAGAAGGGTCCCTTGTCATATTTTGGATGTCCAGGTTTTCAGGGCACTTCAACCAAAAATATATTTCCTCTTAATCTTCTCAGATTCCACATTTTGATGTTTAAGGTATAAATGGGTATGTTTTACTTCTGTCTTACTCTTAATTTTCTTGCAGTACACTTCAGAGTAATCTTGTGACAGCTTTTAATCCACAGGTTAAGAGTCTGAAGAAATCACATCTGTTTCATCAGATTTCTCTGAGGCTGATAGCGTTGACATTGTCAAACCAATCCGATAATGATTTTTACAGGACTGTTTGAGTCCAAATTTTTGAGGACTTTGAGCACACCATCAGATTTGTTTCGAAAATTGATTCTGCCAACACAAATACAGTTATCTGTGGAAACAGACTTAGATTATTTTAGACAAACTTACATTTTTATTAGATATTTTTAAACAAGAACGTTTGATCTTATGGTATCACAGCACCCATAATGGAACAGCGACAAGGTGATAGGCTCAGCACAATGTCTAAACATCCAGATGTCTGGATACAATTCAATGGAATGACCAAAAAATTTGCAAAGCTGAGTACAAATCACAAACAAACTGCAACATTACTAACGACTACCAGATTAGTCATCTGGTATAATTTGTTTGTTTTACAGTGAAGATACTTGTTAGACAAAGATTTATCTAAAAACCTGCTGTACTTAATTATTAATTGCAGTACTGGTTAACAAACTCATTAAACCAGAGTGTCTGTGACAGAGAGCTGTCCGTTCCCCCGAGCCTC